TTCAGATTTTGTGTGCTTTAGGGTCAACCTCTGTTCTGGGTCTTGATGGGTAAAACTGAATAAAATATACTTCCTCCCTGGTAGGGCTCATAACTTTCATAAATTATGCTATGGCAAACGTGAATGAGGGTGGGGCATATCTTAGTAGTGGACAGAACATTTGCATATCATGCACATGGTTCTTGGTTAAATCTCTGAAACCAGAAAAAAATGAAACAAAATCCTGTAATTAGTGATGAGAACAATATGATGAGAGAAGTCATGGACTACTTCAGAAAAGGGGTTCAGAGTGAGGAGGTAAGAACATGGTCTGGGGTACTACTCTGGAGTGCTTACTCCTCCTTAAGAATCTGTTTGCTCTACTAAAAATAAAGGGGGAGGAATTCCGGGCAGTGGTGGCACACACTTTGGAAGGCAGAGGCAAAGGTTCTCTGTGAGGACAAGGACAGCCTAGTCTACAGATTGAGTTCCAGGACAGGCTCCAAAGCTTCAGAGAATCCCTGCCTTGAACCCCCTCAAAATAAATAAAATAAATAGGGGGAGGGACCCTTGATAAAGGTAATATGAGTAGAAACAAGTTTTAAAGGCCTAGTTGTCTGGGGGATAGTTCTACAAGTTTGCTGCAGGGTTTAAAATAGAAAATATTTTGCATTCTGTTATTGTGAATTAATGTTTTGGCTCATATCAAAGATTTAGGCTCATTTCAAAGGTATTGATGAGTGAATATCCATTTAGAATACAAAAAAATCCGGGGATGGTGGCACAGGCCTTTAGACCCAGCACTGGGAGGCAGAGGCAGTGGGATCTCTGTGAGTTTGAGACCAGCCTGGTCTACAAGAGCTAGTTCCAAGACAGCCTCCAAAGCCACAGAGAAACCCTGTCTCGAAAAATGAAACAAAACAAAAGAAATGGATTGTTTAAAAAAAAAAGTTCCAGAATCAACCTACATTTTTAAAAATCTTGGTTTCAGAACTGCTTATGAAAAAAACCTAATTAGAAGATAGTAAGATGTTTAAAATATAGGCTGGGGTCTGGTTAGATGGTTCAGCTGGCAAAAGTGCTTGCCATGCAAGCCCATGATCTGAATTAAATACCAAAATTCATGTAAGGTGAGAGAAAAGAACCAACTTCACAAAGCTATCCTTAGGCCTCTATATACAGAGGCATGTTCACATCTACACAACAATTAACACACACATTCTCATTTTCTAACCAATTAAGGTCTTTAAGATCTTATTTTAAATTTAAAATCTTATTAAAAAATATAGGCAGTTAGGGTTGGGAGGTGGTGGCAGTAGCAAGACCCTTTCTGAAAAATAAATAAATGAAATTTAAAAATACCCAAAGAGTGAGGACTAAAGTGTAGGAACTAACTGCTTACAGGGCAGGTATTTGGAGGAGGCGCTGGAGAAGAGCCTTCCGTGTAGCAGAAGTTGTGGCAGCAACAGAAGTCTGTTTGACCAGAGAGAAGAAATAGGGCTTCATGTGAAGACACATAGGATCTTTATAAGTAAGGTAAGTTAAAGGCTTCAAAGAGCTGGTTGTGGCGGTGCACACCGGTAGGATTTGCTGAAGGAGGCAGAGGCAGAAGGATCACGAGTTCGAGGCCAGCCTGGGCTACACATTTTTTCCCGGGCGTTGGTGGCCCACGCCTTTAATCCCAACACTCGGGAAGCAGAGACAGGCGGATCTTTGTGAGTTCGAGACCAGCCTGGTCTCTAAGAGCTAGTTCCAGGACAGCCTCCAAAGCCACAGAGAAACCCTGTCTCGAAAATCCAAAAAAACAAAAACAAAAAAAGGCTTCAAAGACTGTAGAGGAATTTGAGTGGAGACAGGACACCGGGGAACTATCTTATAGCCCAGGCAAAAGGAGCACAGAGAGGGTATCTGAACATGTAAAGGACTCAAGATTAAACCTCAAGAGAAACCAACATTTAGACATTAGGGAGAGAAGCAAAGTGTCTAGTAAAGAAGGCTGAAGCATCCAAGAAGCTGAAATAGAGGGTCAAAGAGTTAGAGGCCATTTAGACTACATAGCAAGACCCTGACTCAAAACAAAAACAAACAAAAAACTTACAAAGCAAATGAACAAACCATCCCTGCCAACCCTGCAAAACCATATCAGGTCAGTGGTTGATGTCTATAGTCCCAGCTACTTGAGAGTTAAGGAAAGAGGACAGCTTGTAGTGTGCATTGCTGATTGAGTTCAGCATCAGTTTGATCAGTGTGATTATATTTTTACCTTTAATCACCAGTATGCCTAAGGAGTTTAGGGTAAGGTAGCCCTAGCTGGGAAAAACATTCTTTTTGATAAAAATAGACTCTCTCCCAAAAGGTCAGTGAGTGAGATGACTCAGCCAGCAAAGGCACCTGCCACACAACCATGCACACAAAATGACTACATAAAAATGCAATGAAGTTTTGTTTTTATGTTTTTTGACTAAAATAGAGCAGTTAGCTCATCAGAGAAAATCCAAGAGCAAAGTATAAGCAACCAGGATGGGGACAAAGCTTCAAGGGGTAACTGTATTGACTATTCCAGAGATGACTGAAATGAAGAGTATCCATTGGATTTGGCAACATTGTAGCCATAGGTGATGCTATCAACTTTCATGAGCAGTTAGAAGTCAGATAGACACTAACTAAAGCTTCTATGAAAGATAAGAAAGTTGAACTTGTATAGGCAAAACACTATAAAATGAGAATTTTAAAAAATCAGATGGGTCGTGGTGGAGCATGTCCTCAGTCCCATTGTTAGGGAAGCAGACGCAGGGGAGTTCGAGACCAGCCTAGTCTACAGATCTCTATAGACAGAGACTCTGTCTCAAACCCACCCCCCAAAACAAACAAACAAATAAGCTAGAATGATGAAGCTGTACCTAGTAGCACATGCTTGTACTTCTTGCACTGGGGAGGCTGAGTACAGAATGATTAAGAGTCCCTAGGTCAGTCTGGATTTTATGTCAAGAAAAATGATAGGCCTTTGAGAGATATGGGAACCTAATTTGCAAGCTGATGGAAAGAGATGTTTGTTTTTTGAAACATAGGATTTGGTGACTGACATTAGAAAATAATGGTGAGGCAGCCAATGATCTTTTTTTTTTTTTTTTTTTTTTTGGTTTTTTGAGACAGGGTTTCTATGTATTGTTTTTTGGACCATGTCCCGGAACTCGCTCGGTAGACCAGGCTGGTCTTGAACTCACAGAGAAGAGATCTGCCTGCTTCTGCCTCCCGAGTGCTGGGATTAAAGGTGTGTGCCACTACCGCCCGGCGCCAATGATCATTCTTAAACCAGATGGTGATGACATTTGTTAGGAACAATAACATTGCCAGATGGTGGGTGTCTCATGCCTTTAATCCCAGCACTTGGGAAGCAGAGTCAGGCAGTGTTTCTGAGTTCCAGTCCAGCCTGGACTACAAAGAGTTCCAGGACAGCCAGGGCTACACTGAAAAACCCTCTCTCAAAAAAACAAAAACAATGCTCCCCCCCAAAAAAGAATATAGAAGCCAGAGAAAATTTGCTTCCAAGAGTGTTTCCACCACAGTATACATTGCTTTCTTATGAAGAAGTCCAGCCCTGCAGGAGTGGTAATATAAAATGTGATTGAATTTCAGCACTGTACCACATTCTAGTGTGATTAATTCCTTGTAAGATTAAGCTCTTTGTCAAGCTAATCTAATACCCACACAAGCTAACCAAATAAAATAAGCTTGTAGTGGTGGGGCACCAGGCATGGAAAGGGTCTCTAGATTCATGGCTGAGGGGAGTGCTGTTTTCCATTGAGACAGGGTCTAAGAATGAAGCCCAAACACAAATTCCATGATGCGCCTGGGTCAGCTTCTCAAATGTTGCTATTATAATTGTTTGCTAGTTAAAACACTGAAGACCTACAAAGTATCAACTTCAGTGTCCAACAGTGGAATCCCCCCCAATTAATTTAAATCAACACCTTCCAAGCAGTGCAGCATAATACTCCCTTGCTGGGGAGGGGGCTCAGGCCCCTCCCCTCCCTGAAAATTTATAGGCAGTTAACGGTTGCTAGGGGGGAGGGGCTCATGGGATCCCACCAATCCTAAGGATCTATAGCAATTCATGGTTGCTGGGGGAGGAGTACATTTTCTTTAGGATTGTAGCCTAGGCTTCTCTAAATAACCCCTCACCCACGTTCCTGAAAGTAACCTTAAATTAACTAACTGAGCCAAACACATACACAGAAACATAAATGAAAGTAAGGCGGGGGTGTGAAGAAGGGGATCAGCAGGATTGGGGTGTGTGGAGGAAAAAAATTACCTTATTACTTTTGATATTACTGTGACTTTCCATATAGATATTATAGGAAACCTGCCTCCTAAAGGAAAATAGACACCTATTCTTTCCATATCACAGGGAAACTGCTTTACTTACTTAAATTGAGCACCTGATGTCAAACAAGAACGACAATTTCTTATTTAACAACCCATTCTGATATTTATGGTAGGTTGCAAGTGTCTGAGAAATTGAATTACGCAGGTACAAACTCGCATCTTTAGAAAGGGTCAAGGGCTTAGCTATCCAGGTGGGAAAAAGTTCAATTATCCGACAATGTGAGAAGAGCTAACACTCAGCACAGTACACCGGCCTCATGGCTGAACCATGGGAAGCCCGGTAGGATCCAAACGCCCGGGATAATTAATCCGATCACCTGATGCCAAGTAAGAAACCCTTAAGTTTTCGCGTGGCCCAGATTCCAGAAGCTATGGGGAAGATGGGATCCCAGAAAGCTTGTTGATTCAGCAGGCAACCCCAGTTCACAGTTTCGGGTGGTACTGCGTGGGGAAAGGCCTGGAGACGCTGAGCAACCACTACGCCTTCCTGTCCCTTTCCCCCGGCAGATCAGGAAAGGCCAGGGCCCCCCTTCTTCCCACAGTGGGCACCCCAATGCCTCTTCCTTATGGGACCAGGCCCCGGGAGTCCGGCTCGCCACCTACGCACGCCAGAAACTCTCCAGGCTGGGCTTTACCTGCTTGAGGGCCGCTGTTTCTCCGTTGCGCTTGGCTCCCACGGAAGAAAATGGAGTCGCCGAACCGAGGCTGGAAAAGATAGTCGGGACCCACCGCAAGGGTCCTCCGGAGCCGCCGCGGTCGCTACCACCACCGTCGCCGCTGCTGCGTAACGTGCTACGTCACTTCCGGCTCTCTGTCACTGCGAGTGGGCGGGTCATTTCTTGCTCTCCTGTCCCCTCGGGTGTCTAGCGCTATCGTCTCGAGTGTGCGAGCGCTAACTGAGGGTCCATAGGGAATGCAGCCGCCTTAGAGCCACCAGAACGAAGCGGGGTCCCGAAGGCCACCTGGATCAGCGTGTTCCTTAAGCCGCTCTAGCCAAAGGAACCATAAAGATTCAGGTTAAGGTGTCTTCATTTCCTTCTCGTCTTCGTCCCGCCCTTAGCTTCCGGTTCCGGGGAAGGGCCAAATTTTCTTAGATGATTAGGGGCTGTCGAATCCGGGATGGCTGTCTTGTTGCTTCTGCTGTTGGGTGGTTTATGGAGCGCCGTGGGAGCGTCCGATATGGCTGTCGTTACTTGTGGCTCCGTGGTGAAGCTACTCAATACGCGCCATAATGTCCGACTGCACTCTCACGACGTGCGCTATGGGTCAGGTACTGAGGGGGACCAACTGGGGTTGGGTGGGCTGCCTAGGCCTATAGAATCCCCGAAGGGGCGGGGCCTCATTCTGAGGGCGTGGTCTTGGAAAGTTAGAGGTGCCCTAGGGAGATTCTCGACGAGGACGACCGAGTTGCTAAGGAAATTTAATCGTGATGTTAGTTTCTGTCTGATGAGTTATGTGCTAAACGTATTACACATATACATTTCAATTTTAAACCTTGTGTTGAGATAGATAGTAAAATTGTTTTCACAGGTGAAGAAATAGACTCAGAGATATTCGATGGAGACAGGGTTGAATCCAAATTTGTCCAGGTTTAAAACCTCAGATTCCATGGGCTGCCATTATTTTGTGCTGGAGAGCGAGACGTATAGAATATGACAACATAAGTTAAGTCTCGGGGCAGGAGAGATGGCTCAGAGGTTAAGAGCATTGGCTGCGCCTGGCGGTGGTGGCGCACGCCTTTAATCCCAGCACTCCGGAGGCAGAGGCAGGCAGATCTCTGTGAGTTCGAGGCCGGGCTGGACCGACAGCCTCCAAAACAATATAGAGAAACCCTGTCTCGTAAAACCAAAAAAAAAAAAAAAAAAAAAAAAAAAAAAAGAGCTTTGGCTGCTTGCTCTTCCAGAGGACCTGAGTTCAATTCCCAGCAACCACATGGTAGCTCACAACTATCTGTAATGAGATGTGGTGTCCTCTTCTGGCCTGCATGCACATAGACAGAACACTGTATACACAATAAATAAATCTTTTAAAAAATAGGTTAAATCCCTGAGGTTTTAGATTTCAAGAACTCACTCTTTGATTACAAACCTTTGTCTTGTACTTGTTTTTTAGCTCACTCATACCTTTAGGCACTATTCCATTTAGCAATAATTTTCTTGAATAACTTACAGACATTGCAAAGAAAAGTCTGCTTTTTATCATATGCAGTTAATACTAAGTATTTGTGGGTTCATTCGTTCGGCATAGATGTAAAGAGCTCCTTCTTTGGTGTCTACTATTGTTCTAGACAGGAGATACAGTAGTGGATCAAACAATAAAACAAGACAAATGACTTGGGAGGATTGTGGCTTCACGATCAGCCTGGACTACATAGTGAGAGCTATCTCAAAACAACACAAAAGAACTTCAGAGGAGGGGGGCTGAAGAGATGGCTCAGAGATTAAGAGCACTGGTTGCTTTTCAGAGGTCCTGAGTTCAATTTCCCCAACCACATGGTGGCTCACAACCATCTGTAATGAGATCTGGTGCCCTCTTCTGGCATGCAAGCATATATACAGGTATATGTAATATAAATAAATCTTTAAAAAGTTCGAAGACTGGCTAATTAGCTAAGTGTCAGAATATTTGCCAGGCATTTGAAAGGTTCTGTCTTCATATTGGGGGGAAGGGGGAAGTAAAAGTTATGAGATTCAATGTGAGATGTAAGAGAGGAACTAACCCATCTGGGTTAGTCTGTGGTTCCAACTCTAAGAACCTGTCTGACCAGTTTAGTTTAGGGAATGTATAGTCATCATTGGTATATCTTTGTATTCTTAGCCACCTTATTCAGTAAACACCTACCTATTTGTTGGGCTTACTACATTTTAATTTAATCTGTTTCCTGTTTTGGATCTACTAAATTAAAATGTAGTTAGAGAGAGGTCTAGTAGACTTCAAATCTCTACCCATGATCCTTGTGGGTAGCCAGATTTTGAAGCCATATTCAGTCTGAACCTTAGGAGAGGAATCTGTGATATAGAGTTATATACAATATTTTTTAAAAGCTTTGTTCTTGTTGTTTGAGACAGTCTATCTAGCCTGTCCTGTTCTCAGGAACTCAATATGTTAACCAGAATGACCTTGAATTTGCAGAGGTCTTTCTTCCTCTGCCTCCTGAATGCTGAGATTAAAGGCTTTAATTTTTTAATTACATTTATCCAGTGTGTGTGTGTGTGAGTCATTTTACTGCCTAGATACAACATTCTTGTCTAGATAGTGGTTGAAGACATACCTGAATAGATCAAATAGCTCAGGATGAACTATGTGGTTCTCAATCTGAAAAATTATAGTAAATGTTACTTGAGTTACTTTATTTGGACCCCCAAGTGTTTAGGAACAGAATAAGGTCAGATAGAATTCTGGCTACTCCCAAGGTATAAGGAGGTCTTCTGAGGAAGTAGAGAGTTGAAAAGAAAATGAGAAATTAGAGAGATGATTAAAATGTACAGAACAGTGCTAGAGAGATTGCTCAATGGTTAAGAGTACTTAGAAAGAGAGCCGGGCCGTTGGTTGTGCACGCCTTTAATCCCAGCACTCAGGAGGCAGAGGCAGGCGGATCTCTGTGAGTTCGAGACCAGCCTGGTCTGCAGAGTGAATTCCAGGACGGCCTCCAAAACAATACAGAGAAACCCTTCCTCGAAAAACCAAAAAAAAAAAAAAAAAAAAAAGAAAAAGAAAAAAAAGAAAAGAAAAATAAACAAAAAATTCAAATTATTTAAGCAAAGAACTTGGTAAGTGATAGTACATTTTTCTTTAAAACCTACAGCTACATGCCAGACAGTGGCACATACCTTTAATCCCAGCACTGTGGAGGCAGAGGCAGGTGGATCTCTGTGAGGCCAGTCTGGTTTACAAAGTGAACTCCAGGACAGCTGAGCTACATAGAGAGAACCTGTCTCAAAAAACAACAGTTACATATTTCACTCAGTATTTTTAACATGTGGAATTGCATGAGATAAGGTATGACTTACAAATTTATATGATAAAAGAATATTTTATTTAGTTTCAACTTTTGAGAGAAGTCCTGACTGGCATAGAACTTTCCAGAGGACAATTTGGGGCATTCAGCGTATGTCTGTGTGTATGGAGAAAGGTTCTCTCCTTCTACTGTGAATCCTCAGGATTAAACTCAAGCCATCAGGCATGGCATCCAGTACCTGTAACCATTGAGTCAAGTCATTGCTCCCTTTTATATTTGGTTTTCAAGACAGAGTTTCTCTGTAGCTTTGGAGGCTGTCCTGAAACTAGCTCTTGTAGACCAGGTTGGTCTCCAACTCACAGAGATCTGCCTGCCTCTGCTTCCTGAGTGTTGGGATTAAAGGCGTGGGTCACCACTGCCCGGCTATATTTGTTTTTAAATAGTATTTTTATTATTTTTGATTTATGTGTGTGTTGGGTGTGGTGGTGCACACCTTTACTCCCAGCACTCAGGAGGTAGAAGCAGGCAGATCTCTGAGTTCCAGGCCGCCCTGGTCTATATTCAGAGCTCCAGTACAGCCAGGACTACATAGAGAGACCCTGTCTCAAAAAAAGAAAGTGTGTGTGTGCTTATGAGTAGAGGTGCCTGAGGCTAGAAGCGTTGGGTTCCCTAGAATGGGAGTTACCAAGTAGTTATGAGTGATTTGTATGGGTGTCGACTGGTCTCCAGCCCTCTGAAGAGCAGTACTCTGGTTTTTCGAGACAGGGTTTCTCTGTGACTTTGGAGGCTCTCCTGGAACTAGCTCTTGTAGACCAGGCTGGTCTTGAACTCACAAAGATCTTCCTGCCTCTACCTCCTGAGTGCTGGGATTAAAGGCGAGCACCACCACCGCCCAGTGAGCAGTACTTTTGTAACTATCTCTTCCCCCCTTTTATACTTTTTACCTGGGTTCTGGAAATTGATGTTGGGTTGTCAGGCTTGTGTGACTAGTGCCTTTACCCACTCCTTGGCTCACGCTTTGTTATTTTGGCGCGTGATCTCTCATGGGCTCACTAGTTTGTCTGTGCTGGCAGGTCAGGGGGCTCAAGGTTGGCTTTCTCCACCTTGAGATTACAAGTACAAACCACAACGCCCAGCTTTTTTATGTGGGTTCTGAAGATGGCACTTAGGTAACCAGGCCTGTTGGCATGTCTCTACCTGATGAGCCATCTTGCTAATCCATTCCCATGGAATTTTCTGGTGTGACGTGTTAAAACCAATCATTTTCATGTTTATTTAGTATGGCAGAGGATGTGTTTGTGTCATTGAATGCATCTGGTAGCCAGCCAGAGAACAACTTGCAAGAGCCAATTCTCTTTCTACCATGTGGGCTCTGGGGATGAACTTGGGCTGCCATGTTTAGGCAGCAGGTGCCTTTTCCTGTATCTCACTGGCTTTTTCCACACATTTTAAGGTGTATCTCATCTACAGTATATGAAAACATTTAGCATGTTTTAAATTTTAACGTTGTGGTTAAGTAAAATTTTACCAATATAGTATTTGCTTCCTACCGTACCACTTTTGTGACAAGGCGCATCCTTGGCGCCCTGGAAGATGAAGGAGTTAGGTTGAACTCTCTCTCTCTCTCTTTATCAATTTAATTGGTCTATGTATTTATCATTAGCTATAATTAGTGCAGCAGGGGACAGAAAGCTCACAGGCTACTCAGTTTCACAAGAAAGTATGGTATTTGCCAATAATATCCTAGGGTCGTGGTGGATACATTCCTGAGGAAGAGGGTCTCATTCCTAAAGAGGGAATGCCCATTGTAGGTGCCCCTTGATCAGGGGAAGGCTAACTGGTGGGCTCGTGAGAGATCTCAGACCATCTGAGGAAGCAGATGGTGGTGGGGTCCCCATCATGGTAGAACCTTGGTGGGAGCTCAAGCAGTTCTTGCAGCCACAGCAGCAGCTGCTGCAGTCTCTCTTCTCTGTGGTGTCATTACCTATTGGGGCAGACCTGCAGCCACTCGGACAGGTCCTTCTGGGGATTGAGCAACTATAGCTGGTATTCCTCTGCTAACTGTCCACCCAACCCCAGTGCCTCCAATAGGAGGAGCAAGTGGCTTCCAACCAGTGCCAGTATCTTTAGACAGCAGTTTTCATAATCATGGATACCAGGTTCTCCACATACAACACCAGACCTAAAACCGTTTTTTCTTCTTACTCTGGCTGTTTAGCATCCTGTCTCATTGCTGAACTCATCACAGTCACAGAGGGTCAGATTCATAGCTTGTCCAAGGCTTTAAAGGTGCAATGAAGAGTTAACAAATGGCCATGTCACAGGACATGTCTCTATAAACAGGCTGGAGAGATGGCTCAGAGGTTAAGAGCACTGGCTGCTTTTCTAGAGGTCCTGAGTTCAATTCCCAGCAACCACAAAGTGGCTCACAACCATCTATAATCAGACCTGGTGCCCTTTTCTGGCCTGTAGATGTACATCTAATAAAAAAATAAAAACATTGTAAACTTTGTAGAAGCTTTGCCAACTGAGGATGGGTCATTGCTTGCTCCCATCATATTGAAAATGGCTCTTCAGAACCACTCCAAACTGCTTCTCCTCTCTGCCTTACCTTTTCTTTTCTTTTTTGCCTGCAGGTAGTGGGCAGCAGTCAGTGACAGGTGTAACCTCTGTGGATGACAGCAACAGTTACTGGAGAATACGGGGGAAGACTGCCACAGTGTGTGAAAGGGGGACTCCCATCAAGTGTGGCCAGCCCATCCGGCTGACACACATCAACACTGGCCGAAACCTCCACAGCCACCATTTCACTTCACCTCTTTCTGGAAACCAGGTGAGGGGGAATGCAGTGGATCATCCCTGCAGTATTGGTCAGGGTTCTCTAGAGTCAGAGAACTTATGGAATGAATCTGTGTGTGTGTGTGTGAGAGAGAGAGGCAGAGAGAGAGAGAGAGACAGAGACAGAGACAGAGAGACAGAGAGAGAGAGTTTATTGGAGTGACTTACAGACTGCAGTCCAAGAATGGCTTGTTATGAGTGGAAAGTCCAAGACTCTAGTAGCTGCTCAGTCTCATGAGGCTGGGTGTCTCAGTTGGTCTGCTAGGATACTGAAGAAGGAATGGATGTTGTCTTTTGTTTAAATTGGATAGATTGTGATAGAACACGAGCCAGGAGATACATTAATTAATTAACCATGGAGTTTAGTGTGGGGGGCATGGAGCTTATTGTGGGGGGCAAGAGCAGAGAGAGTGTAAGTGGGTAGGGGTCTGTCTTTTAAAGGGACCCTTTACACCAGACTTAGTGCTAATGGAACCCTGGGCTGACCAGAGTACTGCCTGAGTATATTCTGCCAGGTAACAGGAGCAGACCAGCATAATGCCTGAATCCTTACAGATGTCCTGACAAGGTGAGGCCTAGCAGGTGAAGAACAAACCCTTCCTTCTACCATTGTCCTTACATACACTTCCAGCAGACAGTGTGGCCGGATTAAAGGTGTGCTTTCCAGCCTCAAGATCTGGATCACAAGTGTGCCCTCCATTTCTGGATTGTAGTTCATTCCAGACAACCAATAATAGCCATCACATCTGCTCTGCCTTGCTCAGTTGACTTGTTTGATCTCTTCGTTCTTTTCTCCTTCCTTCCTTCCCTCCTTCCTTCCCTCCTTCCTTCCTTCCTCCCTCCCTCCCTCCCTCCCTCCCTTCCTCCCTCCCTCCCTTCCATAGGAGTTTAGCAGAGTCTTTGTTTTTTTTTTTTTTGGTTTTTCGAGACAGGGTTTCTCTGTGGCTTTAGAGGCTGTCCTGGAACTCAATCTGTAGACCAGGCTGGTCTCGAACTCACAGAGATCCGCCTGCCTCTGCCTCCCGAGTGCTGGGATTAAAGGGATTAAATAGCTGTTTATTAGAAGTACTTTGGATCCGGCAGTGGTGGCACACACCTTTAATCCCAACCCTTGGGAAGCAAAGACAGGTGGATCTGTGAGTTTGAGGTCAGCCTGGTTTATAGAGCTAGTTCCAGGGAAGCTAGGGCTACACAGAGAAACCCCCTGTATCAAAAGACAAAAAAAAAAAAAAAAAAAAAAGAGGAAGTTCTTTGACCTTGAAGAATCCTTGTGGAAAACTGATTGTTTTGCTGAAGGGGCATGGCAGCCATCCCAGGACTTTTGTCACAAGATACCTCAGGCACACCTGAGGCTCTTATTTTATTATTTTTTTTACAAGACATTAAAATTTAATTAAAAGAGGCTCTTATATTATTATGTATTGCAGGGGATACATAATAAAGGATTAGAGAGTCATGGGGACATGTGATGCTTTCCTTTAGTAAGGCATGCAAATTAGATTAGGGACCTTGGTATGAGGAAATACTTTGTGTAACAATCAATAAATCCAATTTTGTATGGCTGTTTGTGGTTCAGTCCATCAGATAGGCTAGACCTTTCTGCTGTCACTTAGGCCTTAAAGTTTCACCTTGGAATGCCTTTCTTCACCAACCTATGCTATATGGTGCACCCTGACACTTCCTTCCTAAATATGGGACATTCCACAAATTTGTGTGTCCTCCTTGAGCAGGGGCATGCTGATCTCTGTATCATTCCAATTTTAATGTATGTGCACTAAGATGAGCACATTAACCCTTTTCTTTTTAGGTATGGATGTTCTCTTTTGTGCAGACTTGGAGAAATGACTGTCTCATAAGTGTGCCGAACTATCTCTTAAGCTCCATCTCCTTGCTACTTTTTAAAACCTCATCTGCCCTAGTTTGCTCCTGTAACTTAGTGAAGCAAATGTGCTACAGTTAACATAGCAATGTTGACAACAATATTCCTAATTTAAAATCCATTGGATAGTTTTTATTTTAAATAATTTTATTTATTTTTATTTTATATGCATTGGTGTTTCACCTACTTGTATGTGTGTTAGGATGACATATATCCCCTGGAACTGGAGTTACAGTTTTGAGCTGCCATGTGGGTGCTGGGAATTGAACCTGGGTCTTTTGGACGAACAGCTAGTGCTCTTAATTGATGAGCCATCTTTCCAGCCCCCTACCCCCCACAGGTTATTCTTGTTTTAGTTTTTTGTTTTGAGATTTATGTGTATGAGTGTTTTGCTTGCATGTATGTATGTGCCTTATATGCATACCTGGTGCTTTCAGAGGTCTGCCTCCCGAGTGCTGGGAATAAAGGAGCCTGCCACCATCACCCAGCGGGATGTGTCTTTTCTTGATTCATTTACTCATTTATACCAGTATGAGTTCATGGATACACACACACATACATGTATGTATATGTGTGTGTTTGTTTGTGTGTGTGTGTGTGTGTGTGTGTGTGTGTGTGTGTATATATATTGTACTTTGAATTATAACCCAATGTTGCAGAGGTTTTCTTGTGCTGCCAGGTCCCATAGCTGCCTTGTCCCAAATACAGAGATGCTATATTAATTATAAAACTGTTGGCCAATGGCTGGGCTTCTTGCTGGCTAGCTCTATTAATCTAAGCATTTCTACCTGGTCTTATCTTACCAGAGAAGGGTCTGGACCTGCTAACTCCTTCCTCTGCTACATGGTGTCTCTCCCGGTTTCCCTCTGCCTACCTTTCCAAGAATTCTCATCTCCTATTTCTGCCTATCTTCCTGCATCTATTGGGCAAACAGTGTTTTATTCATCAACAAATAAGAGAAACATATATACAGAAAAACAAACCTCATCATCCCAATGTTAACTGTCTTCATCTTATTGTTCAAATTTTTCCAGCTTTTGCCTTTGGTAATTCTTTCAGTTGACTTACACATCCATCCATTTGATAGGATCCGATCACCTGTGTGTACATGGACACATGCATTTTAAAGTACTCGCTTATTTTCTGGCACTAAAAGATGTTCAAGGAGCCGGGTGTTGGTGGCGCACGCCTTTAATCCCAGCACTCGGGAGGCAGAGGCAGGCGGATCTCTGTGAGTTCGAGGCCAGCCTGGTCTACAAAGTGAGTTCCAGGACAGCCTCCAAAGCCACAGAGAAACCCTGTCTCGAAAAACCCAAAAAAAAAAAGATGCTCAAGGCACAATACAGAGGAACCCTGTCTCGTAAAAACCAAAAAAAAAAAAAAAAAAAAAAAAAGATGCTCAAGGCTCATCTGGTGTATTTTTTGCCTCACTTCTGAAATCCTCTATTTCCCTAGTGAACTTGCTTCTGTTTACTGGAAAATGGTATTAGAACCAAGATCTAGACTCTTCACAAGTATGTGCTGCTGGAACTTCTTTTGTGTCCTCACCTGACAGAACAAAGAAGTATATGTTTATGCTGTCCCTTCCCCACAATGTAATATTTAGAATGAAGTTAAATAGTAAGAGTTTGTTTAGAAGACCAGATGCAGCAGTGTGCACCCAGAGACTCAGTTGCTTAAAAGGAAGATCACTTGAGCCCACATGGGCTCATGGCCATCTTGGGCAACTGAGCAAGACTCTATCCTTTTTTTATTTTCCCGGGACACGGTTTCTCTGTATGGCTTTGGAGCCTATCCTGACACTCCCACTGTAGACCAGGCTGGCCTTGAACTCCCAGAGATCCATCTGTCTTTGCCAGTACTCAGGAGACAGAGGCAAGTGGATCTCTGTGAGTTCAAGACCAGCCTGGTCTACAAATTGAGTTCCAGGACAGCCAGAGATGTTATACAGAGAAGCCCTGTCTCAAAAAACTTAAAAAAAAAAAAAAAATTAAGGACCACCAGCAAGATGGTTTAGTTAGTAAAGGCACCTGATGACCTGAGTTTGATCTTGTACCTACCTACATTGTGAAAGGAGAGCCAACTCTATAAGTCGTCATTTGGCCTCCTTATGCATGCCATGGCATGTGTGCACCTACACATAAGTGACATTTAAAAAGTAAACAGGAAAAAAAACGTAAAGAATAAAACACATGGCAGGCATTAGTGTTTGAGTCATACAAGTTTTCTCTTATGCCCTTTGTGTCTTTTTATTCTTCCATTATTTAATTTAAAAAATGTTTTCTACTAGCAAGGTATAGTGGTACATGCATGTTTTTTTGTTTTTTTTTTTTTTTTGGTTTTTTGAGACAGGGTTTCTCTGTGTTGTTTTGGAGGCTATCGGTCCAGCCCAGCCTCATGCATGTTTTTAATCCCAGCACATGGAAGGCAGAGGCAGGACGATGTCTGAGTTTGAGGCTAACCTAGTCTACAAGCAAGTTCTAGGACAGCTGGGGCTACACAGAGCAGCCCTGTCTCAAAAAAAACCAAAATCCAGCAGCAAAACAATGAAACAAAAAAACAATCCCAAATTTGTGCAACAACAGAAAGTTCCAGTTTTTTTTTTTTTTTTTTTTGGAAAATTTTACTTTTTCTCGTTGACTCCTTATTTATTTGGAGACTTGTCTTTTGTAATCTAGGCTAGCCTCAAATTGCCTATGCAGCTGGATGATCTTGACCCCATCCTCTTATCTCCACTGCTCAAATGTTAGGACTATACATATAGTCTAACATATATACTATAGGTGTGCTCTGCCATTCTGAGCTCCAGTCATCCACTTTCAGACCTGACCGTCAATATGGTATGTTAATGCTGCCACTTTATTTCTCAGGAGGTGAGTGCCTTTGGGGAGGAAGGTGAAGGCGACTATCTGGATGACTGGACAGTGCTCTGTAATGGACCTTACTGGGTAAGAGATGGTGAAGTGAGATTCAAACATTCTTCCACCGAAGTACTCCTGTCTGTCACAGGAGAACAATATGGTCGACCTATAAGTGGACAAAAAGAGGTGCATGGTATGGCCCAGCCAAGTCAGAACAACTACTGGAAGGCCATGGAAGGCATCTTTATGAAGCCCAGTGAGTTGTTGAAGGCAGAAGTCCATCATGCGGAGCTGTGACTCTTAGCCCTCTGAGCCACTGTCACCACACAGTGTTTGTAGACATCTGATGCTGCTTTACCCTGGGAACCCTGCTCCAGGTTCTGAGCAGTGGCTTAGGCCCCACTGAGATGAAGAAGCACCGTAGAAAACAGTGGCTGCTTTTGGACCTGCAGCCCTTCACACTTGAATTGTTGATCTCCCAGAATTAGTGAGGACCTGTTTATGAAGGTAGAGAGCCTTTTCATTCATACTGATAAGAGAAACTGAGGAACTTCCCTCTTAGCTGGGAAATTTTACTCTTCAGGCATCATGGATTGTTAACTTGTTTGATTTCCCCTTATTTTTCTTTTTCCAAAATAATAAATAAAAAAACACAAAGAGAATTTTAGTCACTGTGTGGTCATTTATAATGGGAGCTATTTCAGGATCTGCCTGCAAAATCCTCAAGTCCTAAGACTTTCAAGATGCTGGGAATCTTCTCTGTGGGCCATTTTACCAGGTTTATTTGCATAGAAGCCTTTTCTTTGTCCCTTCACTGCTTCCCTCCCCAGCACATCTTCACTAAGACCTTCAGAGTCACCATAACATGTAGCTAATGACCTCTTCCTCCAGATCTGTTATGTGTTATGGAATATTAGTTTAAGATGTGTTACATTTGTTTATGCTGTTTGTTTAATGATGCAAAGATGTGTTGCATTCTTTTATGTTGTATTTGTTTTCTGTGTAAAGCTGTGTTACTCTGCCTGTGTAAAATGCCTGATTGGTCTAATAAAGGGCTGAATGGCCAGTAGCGAGGCAGGAGAGGAAAATGGCAGGTATAGCAGGCAGAGAGAATAAACAGAAGGAGAAATCTAGGCTTGAGGGAAGAAAGAAGAGTGAGGATTGAGAAAAGCAGGAGAGGAGACACCAGGGGCCAGCCACACAGCCAGCCATGGAATAAGAGGGAAAGAAAGACACACAGAATATAGAACGGTAAAAGCTCTGAGGCAAAATGTAGTTAAAGACATCAGGATAATTTAAGTTAGAAAAGCTGACTAGAAGCCAGCCAAGCTAAAGCCAAGTGTAATAGGTCTCCATGGATTTATTTGGGAGTAGAGTGACAGGCTCCCCAAAGAGTGAGAAAGAAAAAAAAAAACAACTAAAATTATTCAGATGAGAAAAGTACTAATGGTTAGCATAACCAACCATAATTCGCTGATAATACCGTGTACGAGCCTCCATTTCATCTCCACAGACTTGACGCAAGGTAGATACACTTAACGATGAAGAAGCGAAAAACAGTAATTTTGGGATAGGAACTGTGTTTGACTTGGTCTTTTAAACTATACTACAGTTTTGCTTACCTCTTGGAAGCCAGCGTTTTTGTTTTGGTTTGGTTTTGGTTTTTGGAGATAGGGTTTCTCTGTATTGTTTTGGAGGCTGTCCTGGAACTTGCTCTGTAGACCAGGCTGGCTCTTTTTTTTTTTTTTTTTTAAGGTTGTTTTTTGCTTGTTTACCCCACACCCCCCACCCCACGGTTTCTCTGTTTAACAGTCCTGGATGTTCTGGAACTCACTTTGTAGACCAGGCTGGTTCAAACTCACAGAGATCCGCTTGTCCCTGCCTCCAGAGTGCTGGAACTAAAGGCATGCACTACCATCACCAGCTTGTTCCTATTTTCTTAAACTTGTCAGTGGTGAACAGAAGTGACTGCAATCTGGTGGAATTTCTTTCCGTTTGAGACACGTTTTCTCTATAACATCCCTGGCTGTCCTGAAACTCATTTGTAGACCAGGCTGGCCTCAACTCACAGAGCTCTGCCTGCCTCTGCATCTTGAGGGCTGGGACTAAAGGCTCCACCACTGCCTGGCTTTCTTTCTTCCTTTTTTAGACTTTATGTATATAAGTGTTTGCCTGAATGTATGTCTGTGTATCACATGCCCAAATCTGGGCAGTGGTAGCACAGGTTTTTAATCCCAGCACTTGAGAGGTAGAGGCAGGTAGATCTCTGTAAGTTTGAGGCCAGTCTGGTCTACAATCCAAAGGTACACAGAGAAACCCTGCCTCAATAAATAAATAGACAGACAGACAGACAGATAGATAGGTAGATAAAGACAACGTGACAACAAGCTGCAAGTTGGCTAGGAGTAGAGACTTGTGGGAGAAGACAGAAATCAATAGCTATTTTAGCTGAGTGACCAGATTGAATAAGTATGTAGAGGGCACAAGGTCCTTGTGCTCACAGATAAGCACTAGGGAAACAGGAACAGAGGAGATGTATACCTATTTTCTACTCAGAAATCTAGAAATGGATGCAGTTAATAGTCTGGTGATCTGGCCGGGCAGTGGTGGCGCACACCTTTAGTCCCAGAACCCAGGAGGCAGAGGCAGGCAGATCTCTGTGTGTTGGAGACCAGTCTGGTCTACAAGAGCTAGTTCCAGGCCACAGAGAAACCCTGTCTCAAAAAACAAAAAAATAGCCTGGTGATCTGATGAGGAAGTCCTGTGTATATGTCAATAAAGCACTGTTGGCCAATAGGGAAGCAAGATAGGTGGGACTAGGAGTCTAGGAAGACTCTGGGAAGGAGAAACACAGGGAGTCCTCATGTAGCTGCCATAGGAGTAAGAAGTCCGGACCCTTTTCTCTGGTAAGAGAAATATTTAGATTAACAATTATGGAGTAAATACTTAAGTCAGAGCTAGCCAGTAAGAAACAAGCAAGGCCAACAACTTCATAATTAATATAGTGTCCTGTGTGTTATTTGGGGACTACAACATGGCAGAACCCAGGTGACTGGTGGGAAAAAAACAAAGCAGCTGGTAAGGAAATGGCTTCACTCAACAGTGATCTATGCATGCTACTCGTAGATCCAGACCATACCTTAATCCCCCAGACTCTTCCTCCCTAGTGTTCACAGTCAATAGCACCCATTGTGTGTGTTTTGAGACAGGGTTTCTCTGTAGCTTTGTAGACCAGATCCGCCTGCCTCTGCCTTCCAAGTGCTGGTATTAAAGGCCTGCACTACCACAGCCCGGCCTATTACATCCCATCTTTATGGGAGATGTCACATGTACTTTACAATAGCCTACCTAGGTCACTTCTGTGCTATCTGTATAGGGCCTGGCCACTCCTGACTCCCACAGACTTTTATGTTAAACTCTGTCATTCTTCCTATACCCTTGTATTGAATATTGCTTTCAGTTATAGAATGCATCTTTATGGAAGAGGCCATATGTAATTTGTAAAGAGTTTCTTTTTTGTTTAAAACTTACTTATTTTCATTTTGTATGCATTGGTGATTTGCCTGGATGTATGTCTGTATGAGAGTGTCAGATCTTAGAGTTGCAGACAGTTGTGAGCTGCTATGTGGGTTCTGGGAATTGAACCCAGTCTTCTGGAACAACAGTCGGTGCTCTTAAACCACTGAGCCATGACTCCATCCCTGTAAAGAGTTTCAATGTGAACATGTTTTAAGTTTTATTGCACACACTGCATTGAGTTAATGATCATCATATTTTTTCCCAAAATTATGCCGTGCTTAAATATGCCTAGAATAAATTGCTCAGTGTCAGACTCCAGACTCTAGAAGTGCATACCAACACCAGTTACTGATTCACTTTGAACATTTGTTTCTTGCCTCATTTGGATTGCTACTCTGCTTGCCCTGGTGTTTGCAAAGACCCCCAAAAAATGAGTTTGAATAAGATGTGTTGTGATATACCTCTGTGTGACTTGGGCTGAGTTCTTGGATTATCCCTGAGCATTGAGAAACCACACTGCAGGTGTGGGAGTTTGTGCCTTTTTTCCATCACATGGGTTTTGGGGATGGAACATGAGTCCTCAGGCCTGCCAGCAAGGGCCTTTACCCATAGAGCCATCCCACAGGCCCTGACGTTGTTATCTGAAGGGGCCAAAATTCTGAGTAAACTCTGGAAGGGTCGTATGGAGATTAGGACCTGAGAGCCAAGAACACAAATACTTCATAATGCCTTGCAACCATCAGGATTTCTTTATCTTGTACTGTATTAGTAAGCCATTATTCAAACACTGACTCATGAGAATAACAGACCTTGTCTACTTCCTTTTACAATGAAGAAATCAAAATTCACTCTGACCTGATTTGACCTTGAGTTCTCTAGTTCATGTAATTAAGAGGCTCAGAACAATATTCACTACTCCCCCTATATCACACCTGTCCCAGGTCCAGTTCTTGGTGATGCCATACACATAGCACAGACCTAAAACTTCGATAAAGTATACAGAATGGCTCTTTGCACGCAGTATGTTAAAAGATACTAACTGGCAGAACAGTATTCAGACAGTAAACAAAGTAGACATTGGTTTCCCTGTGGGATGAGGTAATATCTGAGGTCTTTCAATTACCTCTTTGTTTCCTCTTCAGTCTTTTGGAGACAGGATCACATCTGACCTAGGGACACATAACTTTAGCCAGCTTCCCTGACAGGCTATAAAAAGCCAGGCGGGCTCTTAACTGCCTTAGGGAATGCGTTTTGGAAGTGGAACTTCACGAGGCGGAAATGAGCCACCCAGGTCACCTCCAGGAATGCCGGCCCGACCTACGCCCCGCTGCGCGAGCTAAGAGCTCTACAGTGGGCTGCGCAAGGGCAGGGTGCGCCCTGGGCGCGGCGCTCCAGCCAGCGCGTTCGCGGTTCGTCCGCCCGCCCTCTCCAGAGCCACGCCTCCACTCCGCGCAAACAGTGGGTCGGGTTTCAGTGCTTGCGTGCGCGGGGCGGGACGCGGACGGAGACATCGGTATGGTCGGCGATCCTTCAGGGCGGGGGTGCGCGCGCGCACCAACGCTTCCTCGCCCTGCGTGTGCGTGCGCGGCCGAGGCCCGCCGCGGCGCTGTGCGGTTCCGGCGTCGGGGCCCGGCATGGCGGGGGTCGGGGCCAGGCCGGGCCGGACCCGGACCTAAATGCCTCTATTTCTCTCCGCGCTGTTGATCTTGCTGCTGGTTGCGCTTAGCGCACTCTTCCTAGGCCGGTGAGGGGTTCCAGCCACACGGTGGGGGGGGACGAAGAAGAGGGTTTGGAGGAGGCGCGGGCTGATCGGGCGCAGTAGGTGGAGGGAGTGGGAGCGGGAGGGGGCGCTCAGCCTGGACTAGGGGGAGGCGAGGGGGGGGGGCGCGGGGCGCTGAAGCTCGGGCGGGGCCCTAAGCAATGCAGAGGCCAGGAACTGAGGAGGTGTGTGAGGAAGGGACCTCTCTCGGTGGTCTCCTTTCCTGCCCCACTCGCCCCCGCCCATGTCCTCTTCCCGGATTGCGAAGGGCACCTGCAACTCTGCCCTGGAGAGAGGTCCGGAGGACTGGTTGTCTGGGGAAGAGCGGTGTTTGAGTTGTCTCGAGTGTGACCTCTGCAGGGTGGGGACGCAGACAGCGACCCT